ACTGCTTCCTGGGACTCGAATATTCTCTACTATTGTTTATTATTCTGAGCTTTCGAACTCTTGCAGGAGTCCATCCTCAGAGATAAGAAACAGCAACAAAGGAAGGGCTAGTTAGAGTGTGGGTACGCCAATCAACTGTCCAGGGTCATCCGGTCATGAGGGGTACGAAAGCGCGATGATGCCCTTCCTTTGTTGCTGTTTCTTATCTCTGACGATGGACTCCTGTAAGAGTTCGAAAGCTCAAAATAAGAAACAACTTGATCCGGTGCTCGACCCTTCTTCTTCCTCACCGATGCAAATACCTGGAACGCGAAAGTTCTCCTTTATTCGTTAGTCCACACACTTTAGGAAACCTCCTTTTTACACTCAGAATATGTTCATAAATAGTTTCTTTGGTCAAAAGGCTGGCATGGATGATTGGTATGGCCGCCTAAACAGATAAATATTGCCATGTATTAACCTTGACATTAATCCTAACATATAAATAAATGGTAACCTCACTCTTAACCGCAGCTTTATACTTACCAATCAAAGCCTTAAACCTAAACCAACACTGAACTCTTACTCCCGCCATAATTTTAAACCTAATTTTCCTAGAATGTGACGAAAAGCTAAATGCATTGTGAGCAGTGTCTTTTCTTGTGTCCTGGAAAGGTGGCAGCCCCATCAAATATTTAATCTTTTAGGGTCATTCTCTGTTACCTTGTATTTAAGTGGTTTCATACGTAAGCAGCCATTCGCTACCAAGTTTGCGCATTTGCGCTTGAAAATTGTGTTTAAGTTTATTTGGTCGCCCACTTCAGATACCGCTAGCTCCAGAATTCCGTCTTACGGGACCGGTGCTGTTCGTTTAGTTTGTAGTTTATTATTTCGATTATTAGCTTAGATTTAATTTAGTTAGTTTTTTTTCGAGTTACGCTCAGTTTTTATAGTATAGTGTAGTATATAATAGTTATGTTAGTATATTTATCTAACTACGGTAGTATCTAGTTGAACTGAAAATTAAAGTAAATTAAAAATAAGAAAATTAAAAGTTTATTATTTCGATTATTAGCTTAGCTTTAATTTAGTTAGTATTTTTCAAGTTACGCTAAGGTTATTTGGTATAGTTTAGTATATGATAGTTATTTAAGTATATTTATCTAACTCTGGTAGTATCTCACTGAAATAAAAACTAAAATACACCAAAACTAAGAAAACTAAAAGTAACCACTTGACTAGGGGCTAGGAATATCTAAAGTGGGCGACCAACGTTACCGTTAGCGAGAATTGACCTGTTCTTCAAGTTAATCAGATAAAGCAGGGTGCAAGAAAGCAGGTTTTGCTTTTAGCATCTCAGCAAATTTATCGATTTTAAAAAGTGGGATTGTTCGCGTGTTTTACCTTGTACCCTGTCCGTGAATACTTGTACTGGTCTGACGATAATATTTTGCTCAGATTTCTGAATCATTTGATGAGAATGTTCGTAAGGCTAACTTCAGATTTGCAAATGTGTTTGAGTTAAACTGAAAATTCGACTAAAATTTAATTATGTTCTGTCCGGCTTGTAAACATGCACCCTTATGAAGACTTTTAACTTGTGACGTCTCCATGGGCGAAATCAAGCGATTGGAGCAAGAGTGTCCCATAGCACATTGTACATTTTGGTTTATCCATTTATAACTATTTCTACTTTTTAAGGAATTTTCAGCTTTTCTTAAAGGTTGGTATTTCCAAACAATGTACTATAACTTCTTAAATGTGTCCAGTTTGCCTAAAGTTGGTTATTATTATTTCAAGGCATTAGTCCAGTCGTTGGGACAGCTTTGGGGGTGATAAGCAATCTTTTGCAAATAATGAAATCTTTACCCAGATATCATTTGGTCTCTATCTGATGCAAATACATGCGCTTCACATGAAAAACCTTGTGGCGCGCAAATCGTTTATGCCGCGCCCCGCAAGCTTTAGTATGTAAATAAAACGACCGATTTTGAAAAGCAGGTATATATATGTAGTATCATTCATTAGCTGGAAACGAATTTTATTTTATCGACAGCCATCAAGTCAAAAAACGGCTGTAAAACTTTTCAATTAGTTTAAGCTTATACTTCTGACAGCATTGATGGAAACTAATACACAAGGTTATATGTTGAAAATTTTTAGTGCTTAGTAGGTCAGTTTCGCCCTTCTGATGATAGGCTTTCACCCAATGCCGAATTGTTTTGAATGTTGGCCTGACGATGTACATCCGCAATATTTTGCCCAAATAACCTGAGTCTTGATTGTAACACTAATTGATGCCTGCTCGTGGTTGTTTTTGTTCTTTGCCAATCAAGATGCTTTGCTTTTCATTCTATACCTTCAGAATAGAACAAGAAGCCATGGCCTTGCTTATGCGAGAGATTGCGGAGGTCACTGTGGATGAGGCGATCGAGCAGGCCATCGCGGATCTGAAAGCGGAGGCCATCGAGGCCGCTGTAATGGATGGGGAG